AAAAAAAAGAGAGCTGAGAGTTGTTATGAAAATCTTCACTCGGGCCAGGCGTGCTTGAGCCACTTGAAATGAACGTGTAAGCCTGGCCTGAGCGTAATGCTGGCAGAATTTCCTGAGTTGCCTTACTGCCATATGACAGCAGAAGCATGCCTACCTCTCCCCTTCCTCTCTGGAACAGATGCAGGAGCTGGAGCAGAGGCTGTTGGAAGCAGAGAAGAGAGCAGAGCATGCAGAGACTCAGGTAACCAGGGGAGGGAACTGGGGAGTATGGGGTGAGAACAACTGTTAATGGTGGTGGTGGGCCGGGGCACTGGGGAGTATGGGGTGAGAATGACTATTGGCCCTTCCTGGCCTGCTTTTTCAATGCACCTGGAGGAAGAGCCCTTCCCAGAGACAGGGAAAACCAGCAATCTCATATTCACAGATTCTCTTAAAAATTAAGGCACATGAGATGAAGAATTAAAGGACATGGAATTAAATTAAGATACAAAGCACATGGAGTGAAATTCAGGTACATGGAATTTTAAAAATTAAGGAACTGTGGGAATGAAAGAGACATTGGATCAGGGTGAGTGTAGTGAGTGGATGAGTGTTAGAATAGGAAATTTGTGTTGAACACATTAATTCTGAAATCTTAGTGGTTTATCACTTTTAGTTCTTCCTGAAAGTACATATCAATTAAGGATTAGCCAGGGACTCTACTTCACCCAGTCGTTCAAGGATAGTGGATAATGGAGAAGATTTTCCTATCATAGAGCTGGACCCTGTTGAACATACAGCCTCCTTGGTTCTCATGGCAGGGAAAGAGAGAGCTGGACATTTGTGTACCAGCCCTTAAATTCTTCAGTCTGTATGTGATGTGCCTTTCCACTTGGAGACCGCTGGCTGGAACAAATTGCATGTGCCCACCTAACTACACAAGAGTGAGGAAACATGCGGAAGAGCACGTGCACATGAAGAAGCAGTAAATCTCTGCCATGCTGAGGTTGAAACAGCTGTTCTTCTGGTCTTTATGACTGGAAGCCCCAGCATCACATGGTGTGAGACCCAGCTGTTTTTCAGAGTAGATAAAATTTGTTTCCTCCTTGCCAGTTCCTTCTGTTAATCAAGTTGAAGGCCTTATAACTTGTCATTTCATTAATTGGTCCTTGCCATCCTGGGTGTGGGCCCTGCTCGTGAGTCAGACTGGGATATCAGGAAATACTCTGTCCCATCTTATATTAGCCAGTTCACAAAACACATCTCCAATCCTATGAGATGCTTGGTACTTTTCAGGTGAGTGTGATGGAAGAGAAGGTAAAACTGTCCAATCTGAAGAATGTGGATTCAGCAGGCAGCCTGCACCGGAAATACCAAGAATTGCTGAAAGCCATGCAGGACAAAGATGAGCTCATCAGCCAGCTGAAGGTCCAGCTGGAGAAGCAGGTAAGGGCGAAGGAACTACAGAGTGCCAGCCCCTTCCCAGCAGCTGCACCAACTTCTTCACCCCTGCGCATGAGTTCTTCAGTGACTGTTCTAGGTAAAGAACTACTAGGTGGTCTTTCTTAGATGGGGTAATGTTGGAGATCATTCAATGGTGATTAATTTTACAAGACAAAATGAATAGGAAGGACTGTATTAAACAGTGTGAATAAAAGATAGTGTGAAACACAATGTATATGAATTTTGCATGCACATCATTATAAAATATAAAATAAAAATGTTTAAAAGAAGGTCTTTCTCCTCCCTGCTCATTAGAAGCCAGGCAGGTGATACAGTACAAAGAGAACTTTGGAGTTAAGAGTATGGGTTTGAATCTCATCTCTAGCACTTGCTGTTCCGTGACTGTGGGTAAGTTCCTTAAGTCTCCGATGGTCTTTTCACACTCCTGTAACTTAGGTGTTCATCAGGAAGCTCTGGTGGCATGCTGCACGGTGAGCTGCACTGCAAAGCCAAAGGCTACCCTCCTCTTCTGGTTTGAATCCACCAGTGGCACCACAGGAGAAAACCCATGCCGTTTACAGCTTCAGAAATACAATGGAGATCAGCTATGATTCGAATCAAATTTGATAGCATTACGCTTGAGTTTATAGGGGTGGGGCCTAAGTGTCTAATGTAGGAATTACAATGCTGTGTAACCTGCCTGGGTACTGCAAGCAGGTAAGCATTTGATTGCTAAGTAAAGGTTTGGCAGTTCAAATTCAGAATACACAGAGTCACCTCAGCAGAAGGCCTACACAATCTACCTCTGAAAGTGTAACAGCCACTGAAAACCCTGTGATGCATTTCTACTCTATAGCACACGGAGTTATCATGAGTTGAAATGGACTTCGTAACAATAGGTTTGGGTCTTTTTGGCATAGGGCTGTGGAAATTAGCTTAGGTCATCTGTAATCAGACAAGCACAGAGTCAGTTGGTTGTTTAAAATTTCCCAGTGAACCTGAGTAGGTAGAGACCAAATTGCTGCCTCCTCTCAAAAGTGGGGCCTCCTGTCCTGAAGGCAAGGAGCGGCCATTGCCCAGCATTTTCAGCTGTCTTTAGTACCTTTGACTTTGGATCTGGAGAGAGGCACATGAGGGCATCTGAGATACCTGTTTTCTGTGTCCAGCATCCTCTCCTTCACAATCTCACCAACTTTCTGTCTTAGTGATCTAGTGCCACTGTGACAAAAATGCCACAAATGAGTGGCTTTAAAGAGCAGAAGCTTTTTTTCTGACTGTCTGGAAGGCTGGATGTCTAAACTCAGGTTATTGGCGACAGGGGAAGACTTTGTTAGCTCTAGGGGAAGGTCCTTGTCTCTATCTGATGATACACATGTGATTTCTCTTTCCCCAATTTCTGCTTGCTGACCTGCTTATTAAATCTCTCTTATATTTCTAAAGAGATTGGTTTAAGTTATATCCTATACTAATATGGCACTAGCAGTCAGGAAATCAAAAGATGAGTTGCTTTGGGGAAACCTACTGTCAAGGACCTCTCTAAAGTACTAAAGAATGATAATGTCAGTCGAGAGACTAAGATGAGCCTGATCCAGGCCATGGTCTTTTCAGTTGCTTGCTATGCATCTGAGAGTTGGACAGTGACTAAGGATGACAGAAGAAGAATCAATGCCTTTGAATTGTGGAGAAAGGTATTGAACACATCCATGGACTGCCAAGAGACCAGATCTGTCCTGGAGAGGGAGAAACCAGGTTGCTCCTTGGAGGCAAGGATTTTGAAGTTGCATCTCATATAGTTTGGGCATATTCCCAGGAGGGAACATGTCCTTAGAGAAAGACATCATTCTTGGAAAGGTAGGGGGTCAGTGCAGCAGTGGAAGACCCTGGATGAGATGGATATGGATTGATACAGTGAGTTTTGCAGTGAGATCAGGAGTGTCAGAGATTAGGGAAAGCTTCAAAAGCATTGTTCATAAGGTCACTGTGAGTCATAGTCAGCTCCGTGGTATGTAACAACAACAATAACAAAGAAAACCCATTCCCAGATGGGATAATTATCCCAGATATAAGGTTGGAATTTATAATCCCATCTTTTTGGTAGACACAATTCAGTCCTTAATACCATCTCCTTTCTGTCCTATCCCTCTATCATTGGCCTTGCCCTCCCAGCTCTCCCTGGTGCCAAAAAAACACACCCCCCCCCAGGGCTGTCACGTGACTTTTCATTATCTATATGTGCCTTTTTAGTGAGGAACTGGTGCTGGCTAATCCTGGTAGGATGTTCCCACCATCCCAGGAAAACCCTTAATCACTCATCAACATTTACAGAATATTTCCTTCATGGGCTGTACCTTTTTGTGCTTTATTGAGCACCGTGTGCTCCTTAAAAACTGGTGAGGAAGTAAAATTTTGATACGTGGGATCCCTAATCCGTTTTCCATTGATTTTTACAGGTCCTTTCTCTTTTTAGTGGTTCATGTTAGAAGTGGCAGTATCCTAGGGATTGGTGGGCGAAATGACTCCAACTGAAGCTTCCTAGGTCAAAGTCATTTTACATTAATAATAAGTAGGTCAAGATTAGAATAGAAAGAATGTTGTTCAAGAGACCTGTTTTTAGTCCCAGCTGTGCCACTAACTTACAGAGGCAAGTCATTTCACCCCTCTGGGCCTCAGACCTGCCCCCGCATCACTGGATAAGGAAAGTATCAAATTAGGTCAGGGATTATCACACTCTTTTCTGTAACAGATACATAACTCTGCCACTGTACAGCAAAAGCAGACATAGACAATGTGTAAATAATTGGTCGTGGTTATATTACAATTTTATTAACAAAAATAGGAAACAAAAACAAGTCAACCAGATAATGTTTAAGATCCTTCTAATTTTGAAATACTGAAATACAGCATTTTGGTATTCCCATCTCATTTCCTCAGATTCTCGTTAAGCATAGGTCCAACCTCTTATAACTATCAGATACGATTTTCCCTCTAAGTATAAATCAGAATTGTTCTTGCTCTTCTCTAAACCACTCAATTTGGATCCATGGTCTCAGGGCCTCTAAGATCAGGCTGCTATTGTTGTGTTCCTTTAAGTTGGAACAAACCCGTAGCTAACCTTCTGAAGGTTTTCAGAAGTCACTTAATTGCATGGGAGTTGATTACCCATCTTTCTTTCATAGTGCAGGATGGGTTTGAACCATATACCTTTGCATTGGCAGCGTGATTCCTTACCACTAAGCCACCAAAGCTCCCTATCCAGAGATCAGGAGTAAGACTTATTGAGGAGCTAGGTGTTACTTATGCAGCAGATATTGTGTGGTGGCCATTTTCTCATTTTATCCTCCAGGCAGCAAGGGAGGTGAATGAATGATCTGTTGTAGATATGAAGGTGCAGGCCCCAGGAATCAGCTTTCTTGCCTAATGCCTCACAGCACATAAATCTCAGGGGTAGCATCAAGGCTTCAAAGTCTATCCTATGTGCTGTAATGGTTCTTTTTATGTACCTAGTTGTTGTTTTCCGGTACCTGTGGACCCAACCCCTAGGTGACTCTCCTGCAGGTTTTCAGAAGTAGTAAATGGCATGGGAGGAGATGCTTATTTATCTCTGATGGAGTAGCTGTGGATATGAGTCGAATACCTTGGGGTTGGCAGTGTAGATTCCACCTTATGACGAACATTTGTGTGTGTGTGTGTGTGTGAGAGAGAGAGAGAGTGAGTGTTAGAGAACTCTGCTCCGTAGGACTTTCAGTGGCTGATTTTTCAGCAAGTTTGAACCTCCAAGAGGCAGATTAACAATTTATACCACCCAGGGACTGTGCCTCTCCATGAAGCCTTTGCCAGTTTCTAGAAGAAGGATTGTTTTCCAACACTCCAATTAGGGTAATTTGTTATTGTGTGTTAAGTGCCGTCGAGTCATAGACTCGACTATGTCACTATGTCGAGCTAGTCTGTGAACTAGACTAGCTAGTCTATGAACAAAAGACCTTAGTACTTGTATAACTTTCATTGTTTCTCCAAGTTCATAGAGTTTCCATATGCAAGATCTTTCGGAAGTAGATACCACTCCAGCTTCCAAGCTTGTTTTAATCGTAATAACACGTTTTTAAATTGTGTTCGCCTAATAGAGGGAAAAGGTACCTTGCTTTTCTCTTCATTCTTCAAATTTTGATTGAGATTGAACAGCTTTTCATGGGTTTCCATGCCTTTATTTTTTTTTCTGTTGATTTCTTGTTCATATACTGTGTAGTTATTGGATGGTTATCTCAAATAAACTCTGTCCCTTGTCTATGTTATAGATCTTCTCCCCTAATTAATTAGTCTTTTGGTTTTAAGGGATTTTTAAAATCACAGTAAGCATTAAAAGAAGATAGAAGGAGTATACAGAGTCACTGTACCAGAAGGAATTGGCTGACACAGAAAAATTTCATGAAACGACGTATGAGCAAGAGCCAGTGGTGATGAAGGAAGAAGTTCAAGAATTGGCAAAAAACAAGGCCCTAGGAATTGACACCATACTAATTGACACATCTCAACAAATACATACTTCCCTGGACATGCTCACTAAGTTGTGTCAAGAAATCTGGAGGACAACCACCTGGCCAACTGACTAGAAGAGATCTATATTTGTTCCCATTCCAAAGAAAGGTGACCTGACAAAGTGCAGAAATAATCAAACAATATTATTAGTATCACATGCAAGCAAGATTCTGCTGAAAATAATTCAAAAACTACTAGAACAGCACATCAACAGAGAACTGCCAGAAGTGCAGGCTGGGTTTAGAAGGGATCAGCTAAAGTTAGATGAATCTTGGCTGAAAGCAGAGAATACCAGAGGGATGTCTGTCTGTGTTTTATTGACTTTGCAAAGGCATTTGACTATATGGATCACAACAAACTATGGCTGACTCTGAGAAGAATGGGAATCCCAGAACACTTAATTGTGCTTATGTGAAATCTATACTGGACCAGCAGGCAATTGTCAGAACAGAGCAAAGGAACACTGCATGGTTCAAAATCAGGAAGAGTGTATGCCAGGGATGCATCCTGTCACCATAACTTTTTAAACATTTTTTATTTTTTATTATTTTGTGTGTGTGTGTGTGTGTCCTGTCAAATCAGATCTGACTGATACAGGGTTGCCCCTCCTTCTCAAGCAGAACATCTGGTGGATTTGAACCACATACCTCTGGGATTACAGTGCAGCTTCTTGCCACTAGGCCACCAGAGCTCCCTCTCCATTACTTTTCAATCTACGTGCAGAACAGATCATCTGGGAGGCTGGGCTCTGAGGAGGAATGTGCCATCAGAATTGGAGGAAAACATCCATAATCTGTATTATGTAGATGACACAACCCTGCTTGCTATAACTTAGAGAGGACCTGAAGTGCTTGCTGCAGAAGGTCAAGGAATATATGGATTGAAGCCCAACATCAAGAAGACAAAAATTCTCACCACTGGGTCGATTGGTAGCATTATGATAGAAGGTGAAGAAATTGAGATTTTTAACAGCTTTAGTTTGTTTGGTTCCACAATCAATACTTTTGGTATCAGCAGCCAGGAAATCAAAAGATGAACTGCATTGGGAAAGTCTGCTGTTCGGGACTTCTCCAAAGTACTGAAGAGCAATGATGTCAGTCTGAAGACTAAGGTGCGCCTGATACAGGCCATAGTTTTCACAGTGACTTGCTATGCATCAGAAAGCGGGACAATGAAATAGGGATGATAGAAAGAGAATTGATGCCTTTGAGCTGTGGTGCTGGAGAAGAGTGTTGAATGGACTGGTAGGAGAACAAACAGGTTCGTCCTAGAGAGGGTAAAATCAGGCTGCTTCTTGGAGACAAGGTTTCTGAAGCTTCGTCTGAATATTTTGGACATGCTGCAAGGAGTGACCAGTCCTTGGAGAGGGACATCATGCTTGGGAGGGTGGAGGGTCAGTGCAACAGAGGAAGACCTTCAATGAGATGGACTGATTCAGTTACTGGGGTAATGGGATATGTGTGTCAATTGACAATAAGATTGGCACAGGAAAGAGCAGGGTTCAGAGTTGTACATAGGGTCGCTGTGAGTCGCAAGCAACTTGATGGCACATAACAATAACAATAATTTTTAGTTATGATCTATTTATTAGTGTTTACCTCTCAGAATTTTCCATTTCCCTTGCCCCACTGGAGGTGAAAAATCATATAACAAAATCAGTCATTTTAAAGTTAATAATTTAGGGGCATTTAGTCCATTCACAGCATGTGTAATTACCACTTCTGTATTGTTCCGAAACAGTTCTACCACCCGAAAAGAAAATCCTGTGTGCATTATAAGCAGTCTCTCCCCATTCTCCTACCCCCTAGTACCTGGCAACCACCAGTCGGCTTTCTTTCTCAGTGTATTTGCCTCCTCTGGATATTTCACGTAAATGGACTCTTGCCCTGCGTGGCTTTTTGTGTTTGCCTTCTTTCACTTAGCATGGTGTCTTCCAGATTCACCGTTTATGGCCTTTCCAGTGGGCCACCTGCATCCAGTCACCTGGTTCTGCCCACCCCCAGTGACCGCTGTGCCAGTGTCTTCTATTACTAACTACAGACCTTCTCTTTCATGCAGAAGCAGATGAGAGCTGAGGAAGGAAAAATGATCCAAGAAAAGGCTGTGAAGATCAAGGAATGGGTGACACAGAAGTTAGGAGAGGTAACACGAAGGGTGAAAATTCACCTTGGGGAGCCTGGAATGAAGCTGTGCCTGGGGTCCCTGCCATCGCTCCAGCTATTCTGCCTGTCACTTCATGATGCCTGACTGACATTCAGATTAGTAATGTATCATTCCTTCTGCTCAGACACTGGAACTTTCCCTTCCTGTTGTGTTGGTTGAGTTTCCCTAATTTTGTGTGGAGTTTGGGAAGAAGGAATGAGTCTCACTTCTGAAAAGTCTCAATGAGTTTTCTTCTAAGGATCACACATAGCCCTTACCATCTGCTTTCTCCACTTTCTCTCTGCCCTCCCCATTCATTTTTAAAAAGAAATCTTTATTGCATTAAGTTATTCCAGTTGTTGTTGTTGTTGGGTGCTTTCAAGTCAAGTGTGTCTCATAGCAACCCAGTGAACAACAGATCTGAACCTTGTCTTATCCTGTGCCAGCCTCATACTGACAAACTCAAGCCCACTGCAGCAGACACTGTGTCAGTTTGTCTGGTTGAGGGTCTTCCTAGCATCATTCCTAACATATGTGAGATGAAGCTTCATTTTCTTTGCCTCCAAGGAGCATTCTAGCTGCACCCTCTCCAAGACATATCTGCGTGTTCTTTTGTTCTTTTTGGGATATTCACGCTTCTCCAACACTGCAGTTCAAAGGCATGCATCAGTTCTTCTGTCATCCATGTTCACTGTACAGGTCTCAGATGCATAGCAAATGCTTGAAAAGATCATGGCTTGAATCAGGAGTCCTTAGTCCTCAAACTGACATCATTGCTCCTCAATAATTTGGAGAAGTCCCTGACTACTTAACATTCCCAATGCAATATGTCTCCTGATCTCCTGACTTTTGGTATCAAGTGTATTGATTATGAATCCAAGTATAATGAAGTTAATCCTGTAAATTTGCCTAATAAAGCACAAATAGGTAAGTTAGTGCAGTACGAGCCCCTACTACGTGGCCTGTGTGCTACCACAAGCTCTGTTAGATCCTCTTTCTTTTTTTCATTTTTTATTAATAATTTTCATGAACATTTACAGACATTTTGGATTTCCATTCATTCTTTGCTGCACTTCTCTCCCCGTCCAGCCCTCCTACCCCCCATCCCCCAGTTCACTTCTCTGAAAAGTAAAAGAAACACTCCCTCCCTGTTACACAATCCCCCTGCACCCCTCCCACCGCTCCAAGTACATTCCACTATGTGACCTTGATTGTGGACTCTTGTGATAACCATAATACCCTATCATACATCACATTTAAATTATTCTCTCCCTCATCTGTTTCAGTGCAGTATACACAATTTATCCAGTT